ATAAATAATTATTATCTTTATAAAAAAATTATATTATCAAACCAAATATAAATTACTTCGTTATTGTACATAAATTAAATTATAAAAAAATTGAATTAAAAAATTACACAAAAAAATGAGGAATTTCAAATAGTTAATTTGATACTAATATCGATATATTTTTGTCAAATTTTTATGATATCTTCAAACATATATCTTATTTAAAAAATAAAAACATCATCGTTTTCTCAAAATCACATAAAGTCATATTATAACATCGACTAAGATAAAGAATAAAATGAAATATTAAAATCACGATTTATCTCGCTGCATTGCGCGGGTACACTTCTAGTATATATATATATATATATATATATATATATATATGAGTCAGGTTCATAGGAAAACCATAAAAAAAACTAAGGAACATTCTGAACGGTACGTGCATGTACATACAAGTAATTTGTAAGCAATATGTTTGTTATGCACGTGCATAAAAACCATAAACAAGTTCATTTAGTTGTGTGCACATATGCATACTATCCAAATGAATATCAATGGAGATATTTATGAAAATTTTGAGTATTCATTTATTATAACCATGATATATAATGAATATGATCAAAGTTCATTAATTATCATCAATTTTTAGATTAGAAAATCATCGAAATATCTTAGATTAAATGGACGATTGAGAATGGTTTGTACCAATTAGGTGGTTTTTATACCAATTAGGTGGTTAATTTGCAAAAGAGGTGGATTATACATATACAAATATAAGGTCAGGTTCTAAGAAAAATCATAAAAAGAAATGAAAACCCGAGAAACACCCTAATAATCATTAATGTGTATGGTATACATATGTGAATAACATGGACACGTGCATAGAAAATGGGAAATACTTGTATACACATATAATACCTTATACTTTATTTCTCAATCGATTTGGATTTTAAAGTTGTAATAATAGACAAAACGAAATTCTTTCAATTTCTTTGACGAGAATGAAGAGGATGAGAGTTGAAAACATGGAATATCATGGAAGATTCTGATATGTAGACATTATGTTATTTAAAGAATGTGATTTGTTATTATATATTTGTTTTTTTATATTTGGATTTGTTTTTATTAGTAAATGATTGTATTTATGATTGAATTATATATATTCTAATAAAATTATGATATTTTGTGATTACAAGATCTGATAAAAAAATTTAAAATTTAAACTTCATTAACAATAAGCATTTATTTATGATTGATACATCACATTAAGTTTGGACTACTTCAAGTTGCATAGGGTTTTTTTCTATTTACATTAAAAATGGAATAATGGAACACCAAAAGCAATAAAAAATGTGGGCTTGAATCAGCAAAAAGCGGCAGCCTAACGAACCAAAAGTCCATCATTAATTAATTTTGGATCTTATTTTCTAGATTTGGTTTGTTCCAAGTTTTCTGCAACCAATGGATTTCTACACTGCACAAACTTAAGGATGGTAATGGATCAGGTTGAGTTGGATTCGAGTTTAACTTATTTATTAAACAGGTTGAAAATTTCAACTCAATCCAATCCATTTAATTATCCAATCCAACCCATTTAATTAAATGAGTTGAGATTTTTCAACCCAGTCCAACCTGTTATTTAAATGGGTTGATTTGTTTACGATTTTATTAACCCAATCTGTTAAATAAATGGGTTGAACCTGAGTTGACTCATTTAATTTTAAAACTTTAAATAAAAAAAGGCAACCACAAATACAAACAAATTGTTCAAAGTTTAAATAAAACACAACCATAACAAATATATTGTTCAAAATAAGTTGGATTGAACTTTGGAGGCGATAATGAAGTAATAGACTAAAGGGTTTTCTTAGGGTTTCATGATGATTAAAAGTAATGGAGGCGATTGAAATTTGGAGTTTCATCTCACGACGGTAGGATTTTTAATTAAGAATAAAACAAAATTAAAAATTAGAATACTAGATATAATATTAAGAATAAAATAAAATTATATAATATTTTAAATGAGTTGAAAACATGTCAAAAATTCAACCCAACCCAACCCAACCCATTTATTTAAATGGGTTAGACGAGTTGACCCATTTATTTAAATGAGTTGAAAATCTCAGCTCAACCTACTAATTTTGGGTTGGGTTAACGGGTTGGGTCGTTTTTTGCCACCCCTACACAAACTGGTTAAAGGAAGAAACCCCATTCTCCATCCAATACGGAAGCCAAGATCCACGAAAAGACGGTCCAATCTCCCAATGATGAATCTTTTCAAGAAGGTTACTTTTGCCCGGCAATATATCCAAGAACGATGTTGATAACCCATTTATCAACTTCAAAACATTACGACTGAAAAAATTTCACGTACATTGGATCAGGTTGCCTTGGGGAGGGGGGATAGACATGTGTCCAGTGCCCATAAAAGTCAAATGTCCAAATTTTTTTAGTAATATTATTAATAGTTAAAAATATTATGATGAAAAGAAACAAACACAAACTAAATTAAATGCGAAATAGGAAAACTGAAGGGCCTTGCAAGAGTGAGAGGGCCCAAAATAGTTTAAGAATCTAAGCCCTAAGTTTATAAGTGCCTATGAGTACGGCTCACAATATCTCGATCTCTCCTAATCCCACCTCAGGTATCGATTCATTGTCTCATTGAACAGACTTCGAGATGAGACTACGATTTCCGAATTTCGAGTACGGATTACGCTCTCGCCTCTCCAACCTCTGTATGTTCTTCTTGAGCGTCCAAATGTTGAACAATCTACCCTT